GAAGGCACCATGGCGGTGGCCCTGAGGCCTACTATGCAGACATAGTGACCCATGCTGGAGGGCAGGATTGGAGTCTAGGGTAATTCCAGGTTTCTGGCTTGGGAGGTAGTTAGTAGAGATGCTCCTCAGTAAGATGGGGAGGGGGAGCAGTGGGAGAGGAGCAAGTTGGGAGGAAGGTTGAGTTACAAATCCAGATACACTGGAATGTCCAAGGAGACGTGTGGGTGTGCAGCCTAAGAACCACAGAGATCCGGATGAGGGGAGGTGGGCGCGACAGAGAGGCAGGCTGGGAAACAGAAAACTTCTAATCTCACAGAAGAACTGACTTCACATGCAAGGGAGGTTCAAGCTTACGGGTGCTCTCAGAAACCTGGGAGGTTGTGAAAGGCAAATGGCAGGAGAATGATAGCTTCCTTGGAGATGGAGATTGAACTGGGCTAGCTAGTGTGCTAGGGAGAAATGGGGAAAGACCGCTGGGAGGGGCCGGGGTCAGGACAAACACTGGCCGCAAAACTATACCTTCAAAGAAGCCTGAATTTGATTGGATTGGTTTGTGGAGCAAACCAAAGCATTGTTGGAAAATATATAGCAATTAGCCAACAATCCATGTAGCTTAACAGCTGGGTGTGGTCAGGGAAAGAGACAAATCGCTGTCATGCTAGGGTGACTGGGCATACTGAAGCCTGCAGCCCCTTAACGAGCAATAGCAGAGGCTTTGCGCTGTAGGGAGGTGGGGGCAGGGGGTGGGAAGTAGATGGACTCACTAAAGTGATCCAGCCAGTCACTAAACAAATAACAATAACAAGCCCTGGAAAATTCACAAATACATGGAAGTTAAACAATACACTCCTAAATAACCACCTGAAAAAGCATAAAGCTGAAGTCACATGTCAGTAAAGCAAAACTTAATACAAAGCAACAATAACATAGTGTGATATGGACATAAGGATAGACGTATGGAAAAAAAAAAAAAAAAAGGATAGACGTATGGATCCGTGGGCTAGAATGCAGAGTCCAGAAGGAAACCCATGTGTCTGGTCAACTGACTTCTGACAAGGGTGCCAAGACCATGCAGTGGGGAAAGAATAGTCTTTCCATCAAGTGGTGCTGGGACAACTGGATGGCCACATGCAAAAGAATAAAGTTGGGGGCGGCTGAGCGTTTAACTTCAGCTCAGGTCTCACAGTCCGTGGGTTCGAGCCCCGTGTCAGGCTCTGTGCTGACAGTTCAGAGCCTGGATTCTGCTTCAGATTCTGTATCTCCCCCTCTCTCTGACCCTCCTCTGCTTGCTCTCTGTCTCTGTCTCTCAAAATAAAATAGACATAAAAAAAAATTTAAAAAGAATAAAGTTGGGGAGGCACCTGGGTGGTTCAGCTGGTTGAGTGTCCGACTTCAGCACGGGTTGTGATCTCACAGTTCAGGAGTTCAAGCCCCGCATTTGGCTGCTGCTGTCAGTCTGTCAGCGTGGAGCCTGCTTTGTATCCTCTGATCTCCTCTTTCTCTGTCCCTCTCCTGCACACACACGTATATGTACTCTTTCTCTCAAAAAATAAATAAAACATTAAAAAAAAGAGAATAAAGTTGGAGCTTTACGTTACATCACATACAAAAATTAAAATAGATCAAAGACCTAAATGTAAGAGATAAAACTATAAAACTCTTAGAAGAAATCATAGAAAGCTTCATGATATTGGATTTGGCAATGATTTCTTGGCCATGACACCACAGGCAACATAAGATAGATAAACGGCCGCATCCGGGTACCTGAGTGGCTCAGTTGGTTAAGTGTCCAACTTTGGCTCAGGTTGTGATCTCATAGTTCATGGTTTGGGCCCTGCATCTGGCTCCACACTGGTGTGAAGTCTGCTTGGGATTCTCATTCTCTCCTCTCTCTCTGCCCCAACCCCACTCATGCTCTCTCTCTCAAAATAATAAATAAACTTTTAACAAAAAATTGGACCTCATCAGAACGAAAACTCTTGTGCACCAAAGGACACTGTTAGAGTGAATAGGCAACCCACAGATTGGGAGAAAATATCTGCGAATTATATGTCTGATAAGGGATTAATATCCAGAATATATAAAGAATTCCTACAAGTCAACAATTTTTAAAAAAATTTTAGTGTTTATTTAATTTTGAGAGAAATAGAGAGCACAACCCAAGGAGGGGCAGAGAGATGGAGACAGAGAATCAGAAGCAGGCTCCAGGCTCCGAGCTGTCAGTGCAGAGCCCAATGTGGGGCTGGAACTCATGAACTGCAAGATCATGACCTGAGCCAAAGTCAGATGCTTAACTGACCGAGCCACCCAAGTGTCCCATTTTTAAATGGAAAGGATGTAAGTAGACATTTCTCTGAAGATATACAGGTGTTCAATAAGTACATAAGAAATGCTCAATCAGGGGCGCCTGGGTGGCTTAGTCGGTTAAGCGTCCGACTTTCGCTTAGGTCATGATCTCGCAGTTTGTGGGTTCGAGCCCCGCGTCGGGCTCTGTGCTGACTGCCAGCTCAGAGCCTGGAGCCTGTTTCAGTCTGTGACTCCCTCTCTCTCTGACCCTCCCCTGCTCACGCTGTCTCTCTCTCTCTCTCCTAGAAATAAATAAAAACATAAAAAAAAAAAAATTAAAAAAAAAAGAAGTGCTCAATCATTAGAAATGCAAACCATGGAGGACCTGGGTGGCTTAGTCAGTTAAGCATCTGACTCTTAATTTCAGCCCAGGTCATGATCTCACCTGTTTGTGAATTGGAGCCTCGGAGTTGAGCTCTGTGCTGACAGCTCAGAGCCTGGAGCCTGCTTCAGATTCTATGTCTCCCTGTCTCTCTGCCCCTCCCCCACTTGCTCTCTATATCTCTCCCAAAATAAATAAGAAGAAACTTAAAATTTTTTTTCTAAAAAAAAATAAATACAAATCACGACTACAATGAAATACCACTTCTTACCCGTTAGACTGGCTATTATCAAAACAAAAAATAACTGTTGTAGGGCATGTGGAAAAATTGGAACCCATGTGTATTGCAGGTAGGCATGTAAAATAGTGCAGCTGCTGTGAAAATACCATGGAGATTCCTTGAAAAGTTAAACATGTGATCCAGCACTTCCACTTCTGCGTATGTACTCAAAAGAATTGAAAGCAGGGATCCAAACAGATATTTGCACACTCAGGTTCATAGCAGCATTATTCACAATAGCCAAAAGGTGAAAACTACACAGATGTCTAATAGTGGGTGAATGTATAAATTAAATGTGATCAATACAAACAAGGGAATATCATTCAGTTTTAAAAAGGAAGGAAATTCTGACACTTGCTACAACATAGGTGACCCGTGAAGACATTATGCTGAATGAATAAGACAGACACAAAAAGACAAGGTAGTCCTGGAGTAGTCAAATTCATAAAGTCAGGAAGTAGAATCACGATCATCAGAGGCTGGGGGGAGGAGGAATAGGCAGTTCGTGTTTAATGAGTTGAGTTTCAGTTTAGGAAGATGAAAAAGTTCTGGAAATAGATAGTGGTGATGATTACACAACTGTGTGAATGTACTTAATGTCACTGAAGTGAATACCTGATAGGGTTAAAATGGGAGATCTTATGCATATTTTACCACAATAGAAAACAAATCAAAGACCTAAATGTAAGAGCTAATTTTATAAAAGTATTAGAAGAAAATCTAGGAGTAAATCTTCATGACCTTGGATTTGACGATGGATCCCTAGATTTGACACCAAAAGCACAAGCAACAGAAGAACAACTAGACAATTAGAATTCATCAAAATTTAAAATTTTGTGCTTCAAAGGACGCTATCCAGAAAATGAAAAGACAACCCACAGAAGGGAAGAGTACATTTGCAAATCATCTATCTGACAGGGGACTTGAATCTAAAATAGATAAAGAACTCTTACAGCTTAATAACAAAAAGACAAATGGCCCAGTAAAAAGGGGTAAAGGATCTGAAAAGACATTTCTCCACGTTAGAATACAAATGGGCAATAGATACATGAAAAGATGTTTGATCGCTGGTCATTGGGGATCATGCACATTAAAACGGACTCAAATCACTTCACACCCCACTACGATAACTAGAATCAAAAAGTCAGATGATAACAAGTGTTGGCAAGGATGTAGAGAATTTAGAACCATCATACACTGCTGGTGGGGATGGAAAATGGTGCAGCCTCTATGGGCACCAGTTTTGCAGTTCCTTACACAGTTAGACAGAGCTACTATGCAACCCAGCCATTTTGTTCATTGGAATGCAATAAATCCCTTGCATTCATCACGTTTTTATGCAAGAAAATAAAAACATATATCCACAAAAAAAACTTAAACACAAATATCCTTAACGGCATTATACATACCAAAGAACGGAAATTACCTAAATGCCCATTAACCTATGAACAGATAAGCAAATGTGGTGTGGCATATCCATACCATGAAATGGCATGTGGCAATAAAAAGGAAAGAACTACACAGTACTACATGGAAGAACCTTGAAAACATGCTAAGTGAAAGGAGCCAACGCAAAAGACCAAGTGTTCTATGATTCCGTTTATATGAAATGTCCAGAACAGACAAATCTATACGGAGAGCAAATAGATTTGTGGTTGCCTATGCCGGGGGTGGAGGTTTCTTTCTCTACTACTTTTGTGAGAGAAAGCTAGTAGGTCTTTGTGGACAGGGTTTCTGGATTGGGAGAAAATTTGGGGTTGTTTTTAACAGTTCTCCAGCTTGAATCTGCTCTCCTGGGGCGTGCCCTTCTCCCAACTCGAGCTGCTTCCCAGCACTCTTTTCCACACTCAGCTTTCTCTTCCTTCACCTGCAGGAGTTTGAAGATGCAGGAGTTTCAAGTCACTGGGGTAGCTTCCTCCCACCTGCCAGCTGGGACTTGGGCCTTTATGCAAGCTGCCCCTTTAAGAGCACTCCCCCTCCACCCCAGCTCCTCCCTCCTGCCTGTGACCGGATTTCCCTATCCAGGCCCCTCCCTTTAAAGCCGCGGCTCCATCTTTCTGGCTGGCTGTGTACAGAGACCCAAGCACCCGCGGAGGGGGCCGTGGGTACTGAGAGTGGGCGCGAATGGGTTATGACAGGTGCACGTGGGACACGGAGCCACTTCCCCGGGGCTTAGGAGGGGCCCGGAGCTGGGACGGGATGGACCCTGGGATGAAGCAGAGCCGCTCGGGTGTGGCCAGGACATGTCACTGAGCAGCCGCTGCGTGCCAGGCACTGTGTCAAATCCTGTCTGTATCTTCTGTGAAGCTGTTACTGTTCCCATTTTACAGACAGGGGAACGGAGCCCAGAGCAGCTAGCTGACTTACACAGGGCCCTACGGGCAGAGCCAGGGTCCGACCTCAGGTCAGTGTGACTCCAAAGCCTTGATGTTGTCTCCCCTGCATCACCTGCCTGATGGGTCCTGTCTTCTTCCCAGACTTCCCTTTTCTTTGGTTTCTTGTGTGGTAGAGTGGGCTTAAGGCGGAGGAGAGATGGGTGACCCTCCCCTCCCTCAGCACCAGAACTTGGGTCCCTTCATCCTCCCAGGAGTTGCTTGGAGATGCTGCTGCTGCTCCTTTTCTTGCTGCTGTTGCTGCCACCGCTGGCTGTGCTCTGGCAGCGGCAGCCCCAGGATGTCAGGCTGTCCTGGCTTGTGGGCCTCCAGCACCGTGTGGCAGCTGCGACCCTGTGCTGGGCGGCCGCCTGGCAGAGGCGGAGACTGGAACAGAGCACACTGCACGCAGGCCAGAGCCAGCAGCAGGCCCTGAGGTGGTGTCTGCAGGGAGCCCGGGGGCCCCACAGTCCCCTCAGGGAGACCACAGGTGTGTTTCCGAGGGTCTGGGGAGGTGGCCCCAAACAGACAGAAACCCGACAGGATAGGCAGATTCCAGAACCCGAGGATGCCCTTCTCACCTTCTACTGCCAGCACAGAGGGGCCCAACCCTGAGACCCTACCCAGGCTCAGGATTGTTCAAGATGACTTTTCATTCCTGGGTCCCCGTAAACCCACCCCCACCCCCCGCCTTTCCCTAAGCCTATGGCAGCTTCCTTATTAAGGGTCTCACCAATCTTGCCTGAAACTCTTGGGGAACTGTGGCTTCAGGACAAGCTTATGATCTCTTTGGGGCTACAGATATAAGCACCTTCCGGAACCATCTCCCTCTGACCAAGGCCAGCCAGGCCCAGGAAGAAGAAAATGAGGGGCAGCTCCTGCCTTCTACTTCACCCCAGTACTACAGGGAGGCCTCTCTGCAGGTAAACTGACAAGGCTGGAGCCCAGCCCCACCAGAGACCCCCTACTTGCAGCCAAACCCTCCCATCAGGGTGGGCAAAGAACCCCCAAACTGGGGGCTCAGGGACTGGCTCAGGCCCAGGGCCAACACCCTCTCTTGTCTCCCTCCAGGCCACCTTGCTGGGTCTGGCAGCCCTAAACAAGGCCTATCCAGACGTGCTGGCTCCTGGGGGGACCGCCTGTGTGACCCCTATGTCCCCCTGGCCCCACCCTCTCCCCTGGCCTTGGCCTGCCCTGGGCCAGGTTAGCGCCCCCGGAGCCAAGCACCCTGGAGTCCTGCTGCTAAAGGCATTGAGGTCTCCAGGGCTGCGGGCACTCGAAGCTGGGACGGCAGCCGAACTCCTAGATGTCTTTTCGGGCCTGGAGGCCGATGTCGAAGAGCTCGCTGAGGCAATAGCTGCCGGGAACCCAGGGCCTCCTCTCCCCAGACGGGCAGCCGAGCTGCGGGAGGCCCTAGAACAGGGGTCCCGAGGACTGGCCCTCCGGCTCTGGCCGAAGCTACAGGTGGTGGTGACTCTGGACGCAGGAGGCCAGGCTGAGGCTGTGGCTGCCCTGGGGGCATTGTGGTGCCAAGGGCTAGCCTTCTTCTCCCCGGCTTACGCTGCTTCTGGAGGTCAGCGGGACTCAAGGCTAGTGAGCTGGGGCAGGGGTGCAGAGGTCACACAGCTAGCTGCCAAATAGTGAGCCTACATAATCATTTGATCCCCCTAAAACCGACAGCTCTGTTATACACGTGCAGAAACTGAGGCTCAGAGAGTTTAAGAGATTTGCACAAACTCACACGACACCAGCATTTAGCCCAAGGTCTGCCACCACCTTCTCCCAGCTAGGGCTGTAGAGGCAGCACACTGCGCCCAGGGGGAGCCAGGAAAGGGGGTGGGAGGGCAGGAGTGGGGACAGCTGCTCAGAGAACTGGGGCCTGGGGGCCAGGGGGGCGGGGGGAGGGCTACTGCCTGGGAAAAAGCAAGGGCACCAGCCACTGAAGGGCTGCTTGCTCCCCTCAGGGGTGGTGGGCTTGAACCTGTGGCCAGAGCAGCCGGGTGGGCTCTACCTTCTGCCACCCGGAGCTCCTTTGATTGAGTTGCTCCCAGTCAAGGAAGGAGCCCAGGAAGAGGCTGCCTCTCCTGTCCTGCTGGCTGAGGCCCAGAAGGGCGAGGAGTACGAGCTGGTGCTGACCGACAACACTAGCCTTACCAGGTGATCACCTGCCCAGCCCCCTGGGGCCCTATGGAAGGCCAGGGGTATGAGCGAATGGGCCCCTGGGGCTGACCTCGCCCCCTCCCCCCCACACCTGTCAGGTGCTGCCTGGGTGATGTGGTACAGGTGGTTGGTGCCTACAATCAGTGTCCGGTCGTCAGGTTCGTCCGCAGGTAGGTGACTCCCTGGGGACCCGAGGGGCCGTCCTTGTGCCCTAGGCTCCTCTGTCTCCTTCTTCCTCCCCAGGCTGGGCCAGGCCCTGAGCGTGAGAGGAGAAGACATTCGAGAGGACATGTTCTCTGAGGCCCTGGGCCGGGCTGTCAGGCAGTGGCCAGGGGCCAAACTGTTAGACCACAGCTGTGTGGAGAGCAGCATTCTGGGTAAGCTTCTCCATCAGCTCCTGCCCCCCATACTTCAGTTGACCCCCCCCCCCCCATACCATACCCATCCTGATGGGAGAACTCTAGGAAAGAAGTCAGAAGACCTGGCCTCTTTGGTTGCTCCTAACATAAGTCCTACCTCGGATCTAACTCCCATCCATCCTGCTGCAGCCTCTCCCCCTTTCCTTTCCTGACTTGCTTCATAGTTACGATTAGGTTTGGGTTCCTCTCCATTTTCTCCCCTCTCTACCAAGGAATTCCTCAGAGTAAGGTGTGTCCCATGAACCTCAGAGTAAGGTGGAAGAGGTAGGGACAGCGGCACTGGCCTTGGGATCTGCCCTGTTCACAAAACAGTGTGAGCCATGGGGGGTTGTCTGCAGATTCCTCCGAGGGCTCGGCTCCCCACTACGAGGTGTTTGTGGCGCTCAGGGGCCTGAGAAACCTGTCAGAGGAAAATCGAGACAAGGTAAACAAGACAGGGACAGGATGGGACTGCGTGTCCCCTTCACCCTGCATGACCCCAGGTGCCCTGGGCACAGCGGATTGACGGGGAGGAGGGAGCGGGGAGGAGAGCCTCCTGAGGCTCTGAGAAGGGAGAGATGAATGCCACAGACACATGTGGACACACGAAACACCTACCACACACACCCCGGGCACCATCAGGCATCCCTCACCCACATGCCACACAGCCACACACACCGGCCTCACTCAGCGTTCTGTTTCCAGCTTGACCACTGCCTTCAGGAAGTCTCTCCCCGCTACAAGTCCTTGCGGTTCTGGGGCAGCGTGGGCCCTGCCAGAGTCCACCTGGTGGCGCAAGGGGCCTTCAGAGAACTCCGGGCGGCCCTTGCGGCCTGCCGCTCATCCCCCTTTCCTCCTGAGATGCCCCGGGTCCTTAGGCACAGGCACCTGGCCCAGTGTCTGCAGAGGAGGGTGGTGTCCTGAGCTGAGGCCTGCCTACCGCCCCCGCCCCCCTCATAGGCCACTTGGTACGTTGTTCTGTGGCCTCTCTGGATGGGAACTCTTGGCCAAGATCTTCGACTCTGTGTCACCTGACAGTTGCCCATCAGAACTCCAGGCCTTAGGGAGGTCTAACCTGGTCAGCCCGTTTGGATGAGATGATGTCAGCTGGCGCCAGCAGTGCCCTCCCTGAAGCCCGTGGCGCCCTCTGGAGGACACTGCTAGGTTCCCAGCCGCGCTGCTGGCTCCTGGGTCCCCAGGCCCAGTGCACTGCGCAGGCTGGAAGTGTTAATGCCTAACGCTCCCAGGAGCGACTCTCAGTCAATAAGAAATAGGAGTCGGAGGAAGAGACCTCAGCATCATTGTCCCTGTGTCTTCTGCACCAGTTGCCCATAGTGGTAACCGTCTCATTAACACAATTCTTACTGGTTTTCCTTCCATCCTTCTCATCCCCATGTTTTTGTGTACTTTGTAGGGTTACCTCCCAAATAAACCTCTTGCACCCAGATTCTGGTCTCAGGGTCTGTTATGGAGAAACTGTGGTTGTGTCATTCGCCCAGCTCCTGCTGAAGCGTGGCTCTCCCCACCTTCAGTTCTGGACGCCAGGGCTTTCCCCCGACACTCCACTCCAGGTTGGGGTAGTCTCCGGGACTACCAGAGAAGACCCGGAGCTCCCTCCTCCTCTTTCTCCCCGCCAAGCTTACCCTAAATGGGGAAGGACTGCTCCCCAACTTGGCTGGCTTAGCACAGGTCCCTGTCTGGCCCAACACCCACAAATCATCTCCGTGGGCAGGGGCTGTAACTGCAAGTCAGGAAGTATCACTACAGGAAGCAATCTCAGAGACCATTTGGGTTAACTGTCCATCTTAGCAGTGGGGAAACTGAGGCTGTGAGGCTTGCTCACGGCCCCACAGCTCCTCCTAAGTAACGTGGTACCTGTTCCTGAGCAGTTGCTGAGTCACCAGTTCTGCCTCTGAATCACTGTTGGATTCCATGACCCACACCCAGGCCACCCAGCTCCCCATCAACCCACAACTTCTTCCTGCTAAACCCTCCCGTGGCTCCCCAGTGCCCAAAGGATTAAGACCAATCAGCTTAGCATGTAAGACCCTCTGACCCACCCTGGCCCTCACTTACCTGTCCAGGCACCTGTCCCCTGAGAAGGAAGTCTCAGCTATGATGACCACAGCCTACTATCCTGCATGAGCTAAGCACTGTTACCTTCAGGTCTCTGCTCAAGCTGTGCCTCCTGTGGAATGCCTCCTCCCCAATCTTAGCTGATGGAAATCTACTTGGCATGCAAGGCCTTTGGGGGGTCCTTTCCCCCACTAAGCTATCATTATGCTGGGTTGGACTTTGGAGCCTCTGGAAAACTGGGCCATGTCCAATGTACACGTCCCTTGAGCGCCCGTGCAGAGCCTGGCAGAGAGCAGGTGCATAACAGACATGCCCTGAGTAAAAGAGACCCTGCCTTGGAGACGGCACGGTCCTTCCCTCGGGGTCACTCACTCTCTCCTGATGGCGGTATTGGGACTCCATCCCCTACTCCAGGCCACCTGACCAGGAGGGACACTGGGCAGGTCCAAGGACAGCACCAGGTTTGGCTCTTTCCTCCTCCTCCCCAGGTTCAGTTTCCAAGATTTCCCACCTTGGAGGTTGGTGGAAGGGACAGAGGGAAGGGGAGAACTGGGGAGAAGGGAGAGGTGACTAAGAAGCCTTTTTCATGAAGGAAGAGGGCCGTGGAGCCTGAAAGAGCCCAGGGGCAGCAACAAGGGGCAGAAGGGAGAGGCCTGCTGCCTAGCTGCCCTCCCCCCACCACATACACCAGGTGGAGCTGGGTCTCACAGCTGCCTTCTCTCCTGCCCTAATTAGCAGCTGCCGCTCCCCCCCCAACACACATACATTGTCCCAGGCCAGCGCCCCAGCCAGGGTTTCTTTTGTGTTCCCAGATTCCTGGGTGCAAGGTGGCCTCATTAGTGCCCGGAGACCGCCCCATCTCCAGGGAGCAGGCAGACAGACAAGGGGGGGACCCGGGGCACCGTGATCGAACTCCCGCTTCTGAGAGCCTTGGCGGCCATTCTTTGGGCCCAACCTGGAGACGGCTGCTCTGTGGGAGGCTAATCTTAGACTTGCCTTTGTCTGGCCCCAGAGTAGACGCAAATACCCCCGTCTGTCCTGCACCACCTCAGAGCACTATAAACCCCAGGCCCTTGATCGGTGGTCAGTCAACGGCCTCAAAGTTCCTGGCTCTTTGGACCACTGCAGACAACACCTTTCCTGGCTACCCCACTCTGAGCTCCAGGCACCATGAATCCTCCGTCTACAAAGGTAAAGATATCTGGGATGGAGGGGTGACTCATCATACCAGGGGGCAATGAGAGGCTGGAAAGAAGGCTTGCTCAGGGGGCTGGAAAGAAGGCTAAGGCATCTCTACTCTCGGTCTTTTCCCATGGGGGCCCAGAGGCAGGGGACTGGGTGCGGCCTTAGCAGAGGACCGGCCTCTACTAGCTTAGGATTGTGCTCGGTTCTTGAGAGTTCATGTATCAGGTGCTGTTTGCACCTCCTCTCTCGGGTCCCCCTCCCGGCAGCCTGCACTACAGGAATTACTTAAACCCCTTTACAAGTGAGGAAGTTGTGCCCCATGAGACGGTAGGAAACTGGTGCACAGGCCACAGAATGCAGTTTCCCTGGCAAGGGAGCAGGCAGACAAGACAGCTTGGATCCTGCCGGCCCTTGACTTGCTCACCAGTCCTTGGTTTGCCCATGTTGGGACTATCCTGAGTATCTGTTTCCCTGAGTGAACAAACTTCTGGTGCAGACTCACACACCCTGGTTTTCAGGTGGAGTGGTAAGCCCTCTAACGGGGGTACAAGAGACTAAGGGTACCTCAGAAAAGAGGGAGTCACTCTACCCAGGAGTCTCAAAGGGCTTCCTGGAGGAGATGGTGTGCTGGGGCTTGAGAGATGAGCAGGTAACGGAGCCAGAGCGGAGCCCTCCAATACAGCCTTGCAGACAGGGGCCGGGAAACTGGGGGACAGAGTGTGTTAGGACTGCAGGAGGGAGGGGGCGCAGAGCCAACTGGGCGGGGCCTGGGCCAAGGGGCTGAAGGTGGGCACGGCGGGAAGGACCCCCCACCCCCAGCGCCTGGTCTCGCGTCTCCTTAGGTTCCCTGGGCCGCCGTGACGCTGCTGCTGCTGCTGTTGCTACCGCCCGCGCTGCTGTCGCCAGGAGCGGCGGCGCAGCCCCTGCCCGACTGCTGCCGCCAGAAGACGTGCTCCTGCCGCCTCTACGAGCTGCTGCACGGCGCGGGCAACCATGCGGCCGGCATCCTCACGCTGGGCAAGCGGCGGCCGGGACCCCCAGGCCTCCAGGGCCGACTGCAGCGCCTCCTGCAGGCCAGCGGCAACCACGCAGCCGGCATCTTGACCATGGGCCGCCGCGCAGGCGCAGAGCCAGCGCCGCGCCCCTGTCCTGGGCGCAGATGTCCCGCGGCTGCCGCTCCCTCTGCAGCGCCTGGGGCGCGGTCCGGAGTCTGAGCCCTTGCTCTGGCCGGATTCTGGCCCGGCCCTTTCCTCGCTGCCAGCTGGGTGTCAGCCCTCAGAAAAAGGGCAATAAAGACGAATCTCTGTCAGTGATGCTGGTCTCTGTTCCTTTATGGTCTCATCCCGTCCTGCAGGGGGCGTGAGAGTCTTTTGAACTATAAAGAGCCCGAGGCCCTGGAGCATCTTCAGCTCAGGCTGGTAGAACACAAAACACAGAGCAAGGAACTGTGCTAGGCCCAGTGGTACGGAGAGAACCGCACATGTGCACGCTTGGAGGGGAGGAGGGTGGACAGACACATCTCTCGATGCTCTCTGCTCGTCATTCTGTATTTTGGCCTTTACAGATAGGGATGGGAGGAAGGATCCAGGAATGCTGCACAGAGGAGCGGAGTCTGGCTGGAAAGGGATAGGAGCCAAGCTTTTGGCCCGAGAGTTTGAGGTTCAACATGAATCTTCCCGAGTGGCTGCAGCACGGGGTTGACGGTGTGGAGGGGAAGCTCTTAGGTTCCTGCAGCCTAGACAGTGAAGGCCTTACACTTCATTCTGTAGGTACCTGGGAGTCAGGAGTTCTTAATCAGAAATGCGGCAAGATTTTCCTGCAACTTTAGCTGAATACACCCCCACCCCCCAATTCATATGTTAAAATCCTAACCCCCAGGACTTCATAATGTGACCTTATATAGAAATAGCAGATGTAATTAAGATAAGGTCATACTTGAGTAGAGTGGACCTCTAATGCAATATGACTAGTGTCCTTATAAAAAGGGGGGATTGTGGACTTACAGAAACACACACAGGAGGAACCCATGTGAACATGAAGACAGAGGTGGGGTGATGCATCCACAAGCCAAGGAACACCAAAGATTGTCAGCAACCCGCCAGAAGCTAGAAGAGAGGCATGGAACAGATTCTCTCTCACAGCCTTCAGAAGGAACCAGCCCTGCCTTCTCTTGATCTTGGACTTCTAGCCTCCAGAACTGAGACAATAAATTTCGGTTGTTTAAACCAGTTTGTGGTACTTTGTTATAGTAGCCCTAGGAAACTAATATAACAACCAAAAGTAGAGACACAGAGGATGTGGCACTTTTAAGCAATCCAATATCCTAGATAATGCCCAGCTCAGACTTGGGGGTGAGGAGCACTGTTGAGATGACCACCTCAGCCTATCTTCCCCTTTTCACTGACGTTAGCTACTTTGTTCTGGGAAGCAGCGACCCTAAGCCACCATACTCAGCTACCCACGCCCCTCCTGCCCAGTGATTTTTCTGCTTTTGTAGTGAAAAAGTGTGATGTCTGGCCTCACCTGGGTCCTTCTTGCTGCTGCACTGGTTCCCTCTTGGAGAAGATGGAGATCAAGGACCACCAATACACCTTTGAAGATTTGCAAACTGACTCGGCCCAACTCGAAACTATCTTTCTCAGCCCCCAACTTGCCCCCAGCCTCTCTTCCACTTGGATGGCAGCCAAGAGAAGGAAGATTAGATCAAGACTATAGGAAGAGGGGCGCCTGGGTGGCTCAGTAGGTTAAGTGTCTGACTTCGGCTCAGGTCTGATCTCGCAGTTTGTGGGTTCGAGCCCTGCATCTGGCTCTGTGCTGACAGCTCAGAGCCTGGAACCTGTTTCAGATTCTGTGTCTCCCTCTCTCTCTGCCCCTCCCCCACTCATGCTCTGTCTCTGTCTGTCTCAAAAATAAACTATTTTAAAAAAGTTTTTTTTTAATGTTTTTTATTTATTTCTAGGAGAGAGAGAGACAGCGTGAGCAGGGGAGGGCCAGAGAGAGAGGGAGTCACAGACTGAAACAGGCTCCAGGCTCTGAGCTGGCAGTCAGCACAGAGTCCGACGCGGGGCTCGAACCCACGAACCGCGAGATCATGACCTAAGCGAAAGTCGGACGCTTAACCGACTAAGCCACCCAGGCGCCCCTAAAAAAGTTTTTTAAAAACTATAGGAAGAGAGAGAGAATTGCTCTCCAGTACACTTACTGTGTACCAAAAACATGTATTATGCGATTAAATTCTCACAGCTGCATGAGGTGAAAATTATTAGCTCCATTTTACAGATAAGGAAAGTGATGCTTGAAGAGGCTAAGTCACACACACAGTGAGTAACAAAGCTAGGATTCTACCCCATGGACTCCAAAGCTCTTTTCATCCACCAGGCTGCACTCAGAGGCAGAGCTCGCCAAGGTGCCCTACCCAAACTGAGGCACGAGTGAGGGTTAAGCCATTCTAGAAGTTCATTTCCAGCCTTCCTGTCGATCCTCCACTGGCAAAACTAGTCTCTTTAACCTTGCTGTCACACATTGGAGCGCAGGGAACTGGGGGTGCTGCGAAATATCCCCATTCCACCAGGCGGCACTGTGAACTAAACACCGTTGGCAGCGTGGGCGGCGCGCGGGGAAACCCGTGGGGCGGAGCCACAAGGAGTCGCCCGGGAACCACGCGTGGGGGCGTGGCCACCCCGGAGAGGGGCGTGTCTGCCAACCAAGCCCCGCCCCACCCCCGTGGTCTCTGCTCCAGGTGGGCGTGTCCCGAATTCTCTCCGAGAGAGACACGCGTGGGCCGTTCCCCCCTGGGAGGAGCGCCGCGGAGAAGGGTGAGGGTGTCGCTGGCGGCCCCTCCCCGTACGGGCCACGTGGCGGGCGCGGGCCGAGCCCGGGGGAAAGAACTTGGCCCGTGGGGAGGTGGGGGGACAGAGGCGGCGCCAAGCCCAGCCGAGAGCTGTGAGGTTCGGAACCGAGAGGCTGCGGCAGCGGCGGCGCGGAGAGGAGGGGAGGAGGCAGGCGGGCGCATGGGGCGTCCCGGCTCCGCCGGCAGCGCGCCCCCTCCGGCCCCGCCGCGCTGAACGCCCCCCAGCGCCGCGCCTCGAACCCCCGTCCCGAGGCCATGCCGGTCATGAAGGGGTTGCTGGCCCCGCAAAACACCTTCCTGGACACTATCGCCACACGCTTCGACGGCACGCGTGAGTGGGGCGAGGCTGGGGCTGGGTGTTGGAGCTGGGGCCAAGTCGACTTCGGCGCCGGCGCGGGTCTCCTGGATGTGGTGACACCCGAGGCGAGGAGAGTGGAATTGACGGTCTAGGAACTCCCGAAGCCGCCAGGAAAGGAACAGGACTGGCAGTGCCCTGTGAGAGGAAGCGGGGAGAGGGCCCAGAGCGCGGGGGGCTAAGGTTGGGGGTGTGACTGAGTCAGGAAATTCTCTCTGTGCCGCAAAACGGAGGAGAGGCCGTGAGAGCAGCCCGCGGCGGGGCAGAGTTCTGCTGGCGGCGTGGGGGTGGGTATCGGAGACGCAGAGGTGGGACGAAGCGGTCAGGCGCTCTGGAGTCTACTTCCAGAAGGCTCCAGCCTCTCCTTACACAGAAAAAAAAGGAAAAAAAGAAAGAGAAAAGATCAGATTTAGGCAGCAGCTAGCCTGGATTAAGGTCATGCGCCCCCAAATCTTGGCGCGTCTGCGTCTGCGGGAGGTGAGGCAGGAGGAGGGGGTGGTCCCTGTGACGGAGGGAACTCTGCTCACCCACCCCCAGCTTGGATTCCAGGTTCAGCACCTTGGACAGCCACATTCCTCCTTCTCTGCCACTTCTCCCGCCTTTCCCTTTTCCTACTTGGGAGCTGAGAGATCTCCCCCTCTGCCCCCTTGGAGTACCCGGGCCAGTATCTGGAAGGTAGGGAGAGCGATACCCGCGGGCGGAAACCGAGCCGCCGGGGCCCTAGCCGCCTCCCCACTCTCCCCCCACAGACACCTCCCTTGTTTCCATAGCTCCCATCACCGGGGCAACGGGCCCTGGGATGGAAGAAGGAGGCTGCTGCCCAGGGCCCAGAGCCTCCCAGGCACCTTCAGTCCTCATCAGCCACGCCACCCCTCTTAGCGCCCAGACTGGTTGTGTCTCAGGCCTCTTCTCTTAGTGGAGACTCTGCCCCTGGGTGGCCCACAGAGCCCCCCTGCGACCTCCACCCATTGGAGCCAGAGGGAGCCAGCTCAGGTTCTGCTGCTGGGGTTACTGGACTAAAACTTCATTGCGCAATCGTGTCAGACTTTGAGCACTGGGACAGACCCCCTGAAATTACCTAAAGAGATGCTAAAAAGAGGACTTTTCCTGGAAGGCAGAGAATGAGGACACTACTCATCACTGTCTCTCTTCCCCAGCGAAGGAGATTTGTGAGTTTATAATCTCCATCTTTTGGTTTCCTATCAATAATATGGGTGTGATATCACCAGAATCTGTGCCCTGTCCACTCTCTAATAGGATGACAGGATAGTAGCTATGCATGTGTTTTGCAGCCTGTGGGAATGTGGGGGTGGAGGGGGAACATCATCCTACCTTGCCAGTGTAGCACTTAGCGCGGGCTAGGATTTGTTTTCCCCAGGTAGCTCGTGTAACTCTCACGACAATCATGTGAAGAAGATATATTACCTCCCACTTTGCAGATAACAAAGCTGAGGCACCAAAGAGTTCATTAACTTGTCCAAGGTTACAGTTGGAAAGTGGCAGGGGTGTGGTGCTGGAGCCCATGCCCTCACTCCTATAGGTTCCCTGTGTAAGCTCACTAGCTTGAAAGGAGGCAGAAGGACTGCATGACCTTCTCCAGCCCCCCAGTGATCCCTGTGCCAATTCCAGGCCACCTTTACGTCCTTGTCCTTTTGCTCTATCTCTTCTTACTCTCATTTCAGAATATCCCACAGGGGATCCAGGAATCACATGGAAGCCTGGGAAGCTTTTGGCTCTGAACTCTGAGCACAGTTTGGGGGAGGTACTACCCACCTTGAAGCTAAGCTCCCCTCCTGGCCTTGACCTAACCTTGACCTCTTCTCCCCACAGACAGCAATTTCCTGCTGGCCAACGCACAGGGCCCACGGGGCTTTCCCATTGTCTACTGCTCTGACGGATTCTGTGAGCTCACAGGCTACGGCCGCACTGAGGTCATGCAGAAAACCTGCAGCTGCCGTTTCCTCTATGGTCCAGAGACCAGCGAGCCAGCACTGCAGAGGCTGCACAAGGCCCTGGAGGGCCATCA